TGTACCATTCCTGTCATTATTTGATACATAGTGATGGAGTAGAGAGTGGAGTAGATAAATGAGTTTTGCTTCTTTGAAATCAATGAAACTACACAAATGGGATTCTTTTTTCTCTTGGGCGAATGTTGTTTAAGTATTTTATGATTTTTGAGGGAGGCAGGCAATGTGTATGTTTGCACAACAAACATTCCCAAGCTCTGGGGCTTAAGTGAACGACTGGAATTTGGCTTGTGGATTAATACACTGCTGTGGCTTTCAGGATTTCGGTATTGGCCACTTAACTAGGTCATTTGGGTCTCTCACACAGTGTGTATCCCATTACTTAGTACCTCAGCGGGGCTCAGATAAAACTGTGGTAGAATTTATTTTAAAAAAACAAGAGGAGTAATGGATTTCTAAAAAAATTACTTAAAAATTATGAAGTCACTTGAGGTCTGCTTACTTTCTAATCTAACTGATCAAACCCTAGATACTTAGATATGGATGTGTTTCTCTTTGAGTGGGGGAAATACAAAGAATTTATATTCACAGATGTTCATATATATGACTTTGCTTTCAAGACCATATTTTTGTTAGTATTTAGTAACTTTGATATTGGCATTGCAGCTTCTGCAATTATTCTCCTGTTAGGTTATTTGCTAAAATATTAATGAAGAGCAAGCACAAAGTTGTAAGTTAATTAATTTAAAATATACATGTATTTTCATTTGGCAAAGGTAAATTATATAACTCTTTTATACAATGCAGGGTTGAAAAAAATCAACACTGAAAGATGGAACTCTGTATTTAAAAATAGTTATGCTTTCATTTTATTATGATTTTGTAGCTTTCTATCAGCTTCTCATTTTCTGAGAGTTTTGCTGTGTTCTAATTGCATATAATTAGTTTACTGCTATAAGTAGAACACTTCAAACAAAAAAAAAATCTTAAGATGGTTAAAATCTCCCAGAGAATAATCATATTTTCTCCCTTGAATCCAAGCACTTCAAAGTTAAAAATTCAAAGATGTAAGAATCTTTGAAGAAGATTCACATCTGAGAAATGTGAAGGTCAGTCTACCTGTTTATACTTCCTTCCCAGTCCTACAGAGATGCAGGAAATTCAGAAATAACATTACACATACATGCATGTAATCATTTTTTAAGCTCAAAATCCTCTCAAAGTCAATGATAATTCGTAGCTGACTTCCATAGAATCACAATTTGATCCACTTTTTTGAATTTTCTAGTTGAAAAAGGTCCATGAGAGTAAGGGAAAGCCCACCTCAATTCTCTGTGGGGAAGTAAAAGTACCAAGTAATATTTTGAACTAAAGAAGCTGAATTATATAAGTAATAATTTAAATATTAGGGAAAAACCAACATGGTTTGGGGTCTTAGTTGCTTTGGTCTTTTTGTAATGATGAACTACCTACCCTGCTTCAAAATGACAAAAACTGAAAAGGCATTTTGCTGGTGACTTTTATAAGCTGCTGAATTTCATAGGGTTGCCATGTTGAAGGGCTGGATCTCGTCTCTAGTACATAATTCTTTAGGGGATCTGGCAGAGTGAACTGGGATTTAAAACCACTGAGCTGCTTTCTGCTCTGTATTTGTAATATCACAAGAGAAAATCAGTGCTAAAAAGAAAAAAAAAATCTATTTTGGAAAAAGCCACATGTGGTTGGAGAATGGTAAAAGTAGCAAGAGCCACAGGCATATTCAAATTGAGCAGAGTTACCTACTCAAGGGACTTATGAACTATCAGAAAATACATTTGTAAAATAATTTTTTTTCTTCCCTTCTTTCAGAACCAAAAATCACCCTTTCACAGTTGGGGGATGGAGCTGACACTGTTAACAGCTAAAATCAGGAAGTCAGCGAGAGTTTTGTCATGTTCTCTTAGGTCAGTGGTATTTGGGATGGTTGTTTTTAATTCAGGAAATTATTTGCAAAGGAAATAGTTGTCAAACATAACAGTTATAGGTCAAAATGTTAGGCAAGTTATCCTTAAGTAGGTGTGCACAAAGAAACTCCCCATTTATCAGATGTACTGCTCTGCTTGTTGAAACTTCCTTACATCCACTTTTTCACAGACTGTTTGCCACTGTTTTCCAATTCATGTGTCCCCACCACGTGTTAACTCCTCTCACTCTCTTCTCCTCCTCAGCAGAGGGTGGGGATAAGGACTTGTGAGGTTTGACACGACCTTTGCAAGCTGCTGTTCTTGAGTGAGCTGGAAATGAGGCACAATGAGGTCCCTCCATCCTGAATACAGCTGACAAGAAACCATGTTTTAAAAAGTCTCTGTGGAAAAATCTGAGTTCAGCTATATTAATTCAGGAGATAAGGTCGAGAAAGGTTGTCAAGTCAATGAAATGGGAATTGCAGGGAGCAGACCCAGTATCAGCCGAGAGTAAAAGGTTGAAAAGAGTCCCTGATTGCTCAGCTTTTTCTGGTGGATTCTACTTATTTCTGCTTTCCATATGAAACTCAGGAAGCTATGAGCATCAATTACTTATTTGGGAGCTTGATCACAAGAGATAGCCTTGAATATGTCTCAGACTTTTCCAAATCCGCTGAATTAATTTCTTTGAATTCTGATTTCCCCTCCTCTCCAAAAACAGAAGTAGTGAAAAACTTGAGATCCAAGCAATAAAAAAGATAAACAAACATATTTAGGCCTATACATATACAGTGCTATCCTCATAAAAATATGGCCAAGCTGATAGAGGTATTACAGTTGTTCATTTTCCTTCAGTTTGTTTCCTGTGCAGCTGTTTGATGCTCATACAGGTTTCACATGTCAGTCGGTCACGGACCTCCACTCACGCAGCCCGAGACCTTTTAATCTTCCACTTGTGAGTCTGCCATTGTTTTGTGACCCTTTTGTGGAATCAGTGTTCAGTGGGCACAGTGCTGGCTCCGGGCACAAAGGGCACAAAGCCTTAGTGAAGTGCAAACTGAAGCACTGCATTGAGTTCGATTAACTTACAATGATAACTTTGTTTCATGACATGCAGCTAAGGAAAAGGAAAGCAATTCCTTCCCCAGAGAAAATAAAGTGGCTAGAACAAAAAGAGGTAAAAAAGGCAAAAGACAAGAAAAAATGCCTAAGAGCATTTCCCAGAGGAAAGGAGGCCTTTCACTGTAAGGAAAGAGAAACTGAGGGTGTTTCTTGATGGCACCTCCAACTCCTCACCTTTTCACAAAAATGCGGTGGCTCCCAAGAAGAGGCTGGTGCTGGTGCTGTGTCCTCTTCCACAAGCTGAGTTTCTCATTTTTCCTTATGGATCCTGGTCCTTTAAATCATCCAAGGGGTTAATAATTACTCTTGTTGAACAAAAGTCTCACTGAAAATTCCTGTGTATGTTAGCAAGAACTTTTCTAAAATGAGCAACAAGAACAACAATATTCTATGCATGCTTTCTGATTTTTTTTTCTCTGAGCAAAATGTTGTTTCGGCAAAAGCTTTTTGAACACCCCAGTTTTAATTCAGTGAATGATTAATGAGATATGGGAAGCTCTGCCTCAGTTGCACTTTCTTTTGAGATCTGTAAACATTCTCTGAGTTTTCCTTTTTTGTGACCTAAGGTCGACATTGAACTGAATACTTTAGTAGTTGTTCATGTTTCAAATGAGGTACAAGTGCAAGTGTGTCGAAGTCTGGAGTTCAGCCCCTCTGAGGGCCTTCAGGTGAACACTTAGGACTTTGGGAGCAGCCTCTCACAGCTTCCTCTCACCTGCCACTGCAGTTCAGAGATTTCCTCACTCCCAGAAAGAAGCATAAGCAATTAATCAAAGTTCACACTGAAATACTTGATGAAGAGATCAATAATTTGTCTGGTTGCCCTAAGTGACAAGTTCAAAATAAAGAGAGGCATGATTACACTGTTTAGGCTTGAACAGAATAGATGATGACAGATTATTTAAGCATTGGATTGAAACAGCTCCTTCCCCTCATCGGTATCTGATTTTCCAAGGAGCAAAGGACAAATTTTGTAAGTAGTTCTTATGACTATTGTGATGATTTTTATATTGAGGCTTCAGTGGAAAAGGTGAAAGTCAAATACATCATCTGTCTTTGCACCAATTGTGGCTAATCTTATTTGACCATCTGTGTATGTCAGCAGGCTAATCATCATGGTTAGTTGTCAACAAGGCAGAGTTGAATGAGAAAAATGCCGCAAGGGAAGGAATCCAAAATTTAGAAACCTGAGAGTTCAAGAAGACACTTGGAGTAAATTTGTGCTCTTCCTGAACGTCAAAAGGCAGTAGGTATCCTCTCTGCAATGGTTATTGTTGGGTATTAAAGGAGGACACACACATAGTTGCAGCTCCTCAAATTCTAGTGGTCCAAGGCACTGGGAACGGTATGAGCTCCCCCCCTTCCTGCCGCGGGGAGACTGAAACCTGTGATCTGTCTAGAGAGTATATGAACTCTCTAAAAGAGAGTTCTATGAGCTGTTCTAATAGATGATCTAATTTACATATTCAGTCATTATTTATGCACTTGTTTTCAGAAATTACAGCTAACAGCTTGATTATAAATGTCAATGTTAATGCAGTAGCACAGAGTGACTTTCAGGAGGTTATGAGCTTGTGTTAATGACTGACTGTGGGTGTGCCTGCTCTGCACGGTCCCTGCTGCTCCCTGCTGAGAGCACAGCGGTGCTTTGGGTGCTGATGCCTTTTCTGTTTGCTTGAAGTTCAGAATGAACCAGGGTATGGCCAGAGCATTGCTCAACAGCTCCAGGTGTGTCACTGCTAATGAGGTTATGGAGCAGGCCTGAAATTACGGGCCTGTTTCAGTTGAAATGAAACCAAAGCGCAAAATTGCCGGTTTTCAGCCCCCGGGCCTGGTTTGGTGTTTGTCCCGGGGCCCTGCGGGTCAGAGATCGCAGCCGGGGATGTGCGGCAGGAACACACGGAATGGAGGCTGGTGAGAACCAGAGCTGGCACTGAGCTGAGTCATTTCTTGTGAGAAAAATCTCATTTTATTAAATTTAGAAGAACAGCAAAAGCTTGCAAAACAAAGGGAATAAAACGAAAAGGAAAAATTACAACACGTGTTGGGTGTCCTAGGCATACAGGATTCCCAGGAGCACTCCTTCCAATTCAAAAGTCCCGCTTTTTAAACATTCTTAAGGTTCAACCCTGTTTACGTCATAGAAGAGGCGTTCTCCTCTCCCTGACTGGCTGTGTCGTGCTGGGAGGTGGAGTGTCCAGCAGCACGGCGGCTTCCAGGACCAGCCACGTGGCATAAGGGGTTTCCTTACCAATATTCATTTTACAGTTCCCTATTCCCGTCCTCATGTTTCCCTGGCACTGGTTCCAGGCTGAATCCGGCGTCTTACAACTCCGCGGTACGCCTGATAGGTTAGTAAAGAAAAACTCCTACGTTAGTGATTTGTTTAATTCATTTGCTTGTGATAAAACCGGTTCTTTATTTCTCACATTTCATGAAACTTCTGACTTTAAAATCACGCTAGGAAAACCATAGAATAATATCAGAATTTGTGCCTATGGCTTCTGACCTCCTGATGGGATAGTGAGTGATCATTCATAAAGATATTGCAGCATTCCTGGTGTCTGAGCGATTGTACAATCTGTATTAACCATCTCTCTGTGATTATAATATGGCTCATTTATACTTAGCTCTTTGTCTTTTTAAATACCTCGCATAAACGATGGAACAGCTATAAAAGACTCAGTTTGTCTTCTTGTGATTCTGAAAATCGTTGGGCTCTGCAGTTCAAATGCTTCTGTAATCTTAGTACAAAACATGCTTCATATGTAAATATTTATAATGAAAGCTTGTAGCATTTTTTTTACTCACTAGTTTTCTCACTGTATCTTCTCCTTTTTCTTAAATGCCCTTCAATTCTGCATAATAAACTAACATGCTGAAATTCAGGAATGCTGGGAAAATGTAGCTTGATAGCACAACCCATCTTACTTGGTGCTTGAAGTTAAGTCTTAATTAGAGAAAAATAAATTACTTATTTACTAATCCACACAGTCTACCCTAATTTGTTACTTTATCTCACAAAGAATAATTAAGTTCCATCTAAACATCTTATCAGTTAATCCTCCCTAGAAAATGAGCTCATTAAATTAGTGTGAGAAGGGTATTTTGTGTGAAAAATCCTTCTTCTTGTTGAATAAACAGAGCTTTATTTATGTTGAAGAGTAGGAGCGTTTTTTATTTCTTGGTGACATTTTACTTATGACCACTGATGCTACAATGAGGAACACAATCAGCACAGTAAGACAAGCCCATTCCCAAACTGCTTCTAGTTGTCTCCTTCCAGAATACTCGTTTTCACTTTTGCTCCGCATGAGAACACGTGCAAGAGGGGGAACAGGGGTAATTTTTAAGCAAAGGAAGTAGTAATTAGGACCATTGCTGTCAGTCAGAAATGAGACTTATCTGCACTTGTTACTTCATGGCAGCTTTTGTTTCCAATGAGTACCCAACTGGTTCTCGTAGACGACTGGTTAAATTCAGTGCACAGAAGTTCTAAAATACAGTAATTTAAACACTACCTTTTGTTCTAGTGAAACACTTGTTGCAGGTGGGAAGGAGATGACGTGTGAAAAGGCAGTTGGTGCTTTCCAGCTACATTGATCCTTAAACAGAGAGTGCATTTTTTGTGTCAATACTGCTGGCAATAGTTTTGAAAACTAGTTCTTAAGTTGTCTTGAAAACTCATCAAGGCCACACTCATTTCTTTAGCCCCTGTGTGTACAGTACTCGGCACAATGTGGTTTGGTCTGTGGTGATGATATGAATAATGATAAAGGGAGGAAGAATGAATAATCTCAGAGATTAACTATGAGGCGTTTGGGAAGAACAAGTGACAGTTCCTGCTAACTTCCCTTTGTTTGAATGAACAAAATATTACATTGTCGGAAGTCTGGCAGAGGAAGATATTCCTAATTTTTGCATATGCCGTGCTCAATATTTTAAGCTATTGTGCAGATCCTAATGAAATGTGCAATTCTGTTAGGTGAACTTGTTTAATTTTTCATTCCTGGATGACTTCATTCATCTGTAAACTTCGTTAGATGTCTCTGCTAGAGAAAAGCTGACTGTTTCTTTTCATGCCTGTCTTTGAAAGGAATAAAGAAGCCTATGCAACAACCAACTCTCAATGAACTAACAGTAGTGCGATTACTTACCGAAATTCAGTTTTCTATGACTTTTTTCTTTAGTCTCTTTGAATGTCTGTTGTACAGAATCCTGATTATGGACGAGTCTGGCATCTGTCAGTCACAGACTAATTGAGTATGACTGTGCAAAGAGTTTGGATTCTATTATATGTTGAAGAAAATGCCTTAGAACTAACCTCGACTTCTATCTTAAAGTCAAAATAAGGGAAGATGTGTTTAAGTTTGGGGGAGTTTTGTTGTTTGGGATTTTTTTTAATACCGTATCTGTTTTCAGGGATCTCCCTGCTCTGTAAGATAAATAAGACCCGGAGGAAAAAAAAAAGAAGTTAAAAGAATGCTCCCAAGTGCAGCTTTTTCTCTTATGGATGTGTTAAGAATAGAAATAATAGAAATAACTACTTTAAGTTGTCCTGCACTGCAACAATGCTGGAGCCTTTGTGGGTTAACAAAGGCTCATTTTCAAGGTCATTTATGACAATTGTTTTGTGATAGCAAGATTGTCTGGTAGAGTGATGCAATAAGAGAGCTAAGATAACTTAAATCTATTTATAGCAAGGGCTATAGCACTTTGATTATTATGGGGATTCAGGGGAGACTTATTTGTTTCAGTGCGGCAAGGTCTGTTGGAGGAGGGAGATTAATTTTATAAAGAGGTTACATGCAATCCCTTTCAAATATTTGGATGATTGTTCCAGCAGAGCTGAAAGGTGAGCCTCCAGTCTGTCTTTTCACCATCTTTCAAGGTCTGAAAGGACATGGAAATAATCAATGATAGGGATGGGGAGGATGGGGCAGGGGGAGGAAGAGAGTCTAAGACGTAAATTTTACATCCTGAGCGTGAGGGAGACACAGCATTGTATAGAAGAGACACTGGGCAAGACTTGGGAGATCTGCTTCTGTTTCTGGTATTGATCTGCTCTCCTCTTATCTGTGATTCCCTTATCAACCTTTCTTTCTCTTGCTTTGCTAATGGCTTTTCCTAAAGAGCTCTCGTTTGTGTAGTCCCTTTCTCGAGGCAGCCAGTACTGTCTGGGCTCTGGGCTCTCAGCTGTGCTACTGAAGCTCAGGTTTCACCCAGGGCGGCCCAAAGGAGGCTTTACAAATCTCTCTTTAAACTGCAATTAGCGGCTCATCTCTCCGAGATGACGTACAGGGAGGACTCCCGGACGGGTTTGTTCGTGCTTCTCCTCCCTGTGTGAACGAGGCCGAACTGGCCTCAGAGGCTCACACTCGACAGATCAGTACCATTTGTGAGGAAGCAGATTAATTTGCTTCACTTCGGATTAGGAATTTGGTTTTCCTGATAAATAATAATTCTGTCTTTACAGAAAATATCCCAGTAGGGCAATTTTAATTTGCTGCATAATATTAATTGGTCTAGTCAAATTGCCCAGTTACTGCTTCCTAATGAAACAGGTAACATGTCATTTTATGTTTAGTTATCTGAACTACTGCACAGATTCCTCATTCTTGCCACACATTTGATTTTTGACTTTTCTATCAGAGGCAGTTTTTAATTTTTAACTTACTATATTTTAAAAATTAATTTTGATCTGTTTTAAGTCGTGTGAGGTACATGGTGTGTTGCTCAGGCACTGCAGGGTAACATCATTCCTTGTCTCGGTTTTCTTATCCAGAGTTGAACAACAGTATTTCTGTATTTAACATCCTAGTGCTGTAGGGAAGAAAAAAGTAGACACCAACAACAATTCTCTTTCTTATTTATTTGCCACTACTGTCTGCCTGGAGCTTTGATTCTGATTTTCCTTTTCCTGCTTCATGGCCGCAGTGCATTGGGTTGAAGTTTGCACATTTTCAGCAGTAGCTCCCAAAGCCCTGCCCTGGTCCGTGTGCAGCAGCAGAAGCCCAGATCTCATGGCTTGCTTGCTTTCCTGGTTTATGTTCCTGGTTTGGGCTTGGAGGTCTTTCTTTTATTGCTCAGTAAAAGGATCCTACCTGTGTCTGCACTCATCTGCTATTTCCATCAGCTGAGCCCAGGAAGTAAAATGATACTATAATCCACTTCAAATCACATTATAACAATCCTCATTAATTGAGGCTTTGTCTTTAATCACCTCATAAGATTATGAAGATAGATTTTTGCCTAAAAACTGCCACCCAAGTTATGAATAGGGCCACTGGATCTCCCTGGGATCCTCTATTTCTATACAGTTGAAAATGTAATTTCACTAAAAACCGTTTGCTTGTATCCCAGTCTGATTCCAGCATGGACTTTCTTCAGACATGATTCAGCATCATAGTCACAAACTGCAAACTTTATTAAACATTTCAAATCTCTGTTCAATGCTGAGGTGCAAAAAGCTCACAGATAAAACCCTCATAATTGCCAACTCTGAATGCAGGTCTAGAGTTGGATGATTCAAACTGCTGTTCCTAATTAGGGCTGCAGTTTCTTGTCAGATCTTTTGATCAGAGGAGATGATCGTGGCAATTACCTTGATTAAGGTGCAGGAATGTTTTTCTTTTTTTTTTTTCAGATATCTTTTCTCCAACTTAGGAATTAAATTCTATCTTAATTATATTTATATTAGCCCAATTACTACAATAGCAGAAGTTTTGTGATGTAGCTGGAAAGACGCCTTTCTTAAATCAAATCATTACTTAGGTCTTGATTTCTTGACATGAACCAAACATGTAGAGATACAAATACCAGTAAACAGTAAAGTACTGGGATGTATATGAACATCCTCAAATCTGCTTATCGGAGGATGGGAACTTATTCCCTCTTATTTTTGCTGCTGCAGCTTCAAGTCTTCCCTTTCTTGCACATGGGGCTTTTTTCACTTCTTGATACTTTGGGGCCGAATCTCTGAAATCCATTATCTGTGCTGCTTTTTTTTTCCTCCCTGGAAGGCCTCACTGTTCATCTTTTTGTCTTTTGTACATAATACACTTTTCATACTATTCAGTATAAAACTTAAGACAGACTGTAGATGTGAGGATTTGTTCCATGTAGCAGAATATACCTAACATAATATATTTTAGTAACTCATGGAACTTGAGCAGGATTCTTTTTTAGTCAGCTATCTATTTCCCATGAATCATTTGATAACACATTAATAATATTGCTACCTTGCATTTTAGTCACCATATTTAGACTTCCACTTTTTTTTCATAGCACCTTATATCTTCTATTAACTTCGAGAAAAAATACTGACAATTTCTCGTCACAACTCTTTTAG